CTTGACAACATTTATTGTCTCTAATATTCTTAATAAATGCCATTATGACTAGAATGCAAAGAAATCTCAGTGTAGTTTTAATTTGCATTTCTCTAATTGCTAGAGATCTTGAACATTTTAAAAAAATATTTATTTATTGATATATCTTTAGTTTTAGGTAGATACATTAATTTGTTTTTATGTGGTGCCGAGGATCGAACCCAGTGCCTCATGCATGCTAGGTGAGCACTCCACCACTGAGCCATCACTCCAGCCCCTGAATATTTTTTTCATATTTTTTTTTGATCATTTGTATTTCTTCTTGAAACACCTGTTCAGTTGCTTTGCCCATTTATTGATTGGGTTACTTGGGGTTTTGATGTTAAGTTTTTTGAGTTATTTATATATCCTGGAGATAAATGCTCTGAAGTATGGGTTTGAAAGATTTTCTCCCATTCTGTAATCTCTTTGTTCAGGTTCTTGATTTTTCCCTTTGCTGTGAAGCTTTTTAGTTTATTGATTCCTGATTTTGCTTCATGCGCTTTAGGAATCTTGTTGAGGTAATTGGTTCCTAAGCTGACATGATGGAGAATTGGGCGTACATTTTCTTCTAGTAGGTATAGAATCTCTGGTCTAATTCCTAGGTCCTTCATCCATTTTGAAAAACTCAACAGTCTTATGCTAAAAGGGTTCTTCAATGTTTTTTTTTACCATTTTTTTCAGTTTTTTCCTCTTTTTTCTTTTGTATTTTAATATATAAGCATGTCCCCAAGATTTTGTATGTAATACTCTGCTTTAAAAAAAATCTATACTACTTGCTTTTGTGATTTCATCTATTTCCATCAACTCTTCTCCCCTTCTTCATAAATTCCTCTCAAAGTGCTCCATGGTTCATCATCCCCAGTTGCATCATGTAGTACATCCCATTGGGCCAAGACTAGAATATTTTTCTTTTGAATCAACTGTGTTTTACAATAAACTTCATCTTTATTCTCCAAGTCATTTGAGCAAATCCTTTAGAGCTCTTGTTTTCTTTTGCCATTGTTTTGTTTCATTTCTCTCTTCGACTTCTGCCAAGTTCTGAGGACCCTAAATATCACCTGCAGGATACTGTGTTCTTTATTCCCATACAGGGTGCCTGCCAGAAAGCCTATGAATATCCATTAACATTTAGGTAATTGTTTCTAAGGAAAAGCTTGGTTCAGTGTTCAGAGGAGCTCATAAGTCACCATTTCTAGGAAACTCAAATATGCAGAAACTGGCTCATACGCTAAATGGATAAAAGTCAACCTACCTACTGTACACTCTTGCTATATTTAAAATCTTTGCATCACAGGTATATAAAAAAGTAGAAAGACTATGTTCAATTGCTTTCACCACACAACTACATAATCTAAACTACTTAAAAAATTTTTGAATCTCTAAATCAATAATCAATTGTTGTGGTCCCTATTCAATTGTTCATATCATCATTGTTGCCCTTAATACATTTTTAAATACAATGAATTGTCTATTCTGTATCCAGGGCAAAAGAGTTCTATACAGGAGTATAGAATTAGAGTTCTATATAGGAGTACATCTTCATTTTTGTATTTCCAACTCTTAACACAGAGTCTAATACAAAATGTGTGTTGGATGAATGAACCTCTATTGCCCACCTGTCATAAAGTTATGATGACTTTTCTATTATTAAGAATAAAAAAAAGATGCTGTACTCAATTGCACTCAGAATTGTTGAACATGAAAGGAGCCAACTTGTTTTCTGGTAAAAATAGACTTCTAAGATTGTTTTATATTTATAAACCTACAATTATCTGGTCACCTTTTGTCAATTAAGTCTTAAAATCACAAGTGTTTGAGAGTTGTTTTGTCGCCCCCCCCCAGTACCGCCAGTCTGTTTTCTTAAAAATTCATCACATCCTATTCATTGCTCTGATTCAAAGAGAAAATGTGCATATTTGAAAATGACTCATAATATCTAAATTATGCTAAAATTAGTGTTACACTAATTAGACTAAAAGACCAACCCCTTGAGGTTTGAAGGCCTTCCTTCTTCATGTTTTTCATATTTGGAGTAAAAAAGGGACAAGATATAAAGGCTGGAAGGAAAAAAAATCTCTTTGCTACATAAAGATAAAAACCAAAATAAGTCAATGCAATTTTTAAAAACAACCTGTTGATTTCATCAGAAAAAACAGTTAAAAACAAGGTCTTTGTACCTAAAATAGAATTGCCTAATATTTCACTGTGAATCAAATATATTTTTTTGTGGTATAAAATTCATCATCTCCTAAATTTAAGTTAGCTCTAAACACTAATTATTTAGATGAGGAATTCTTTCAGGGGGCAGGGATGGCTAAACACTGATCAATCACCATTTGCTAAATCTGATGCACTGTTATCAAATAACAGGGACAGTGGATATAAGAGGGGGAGATAATACAACGGAGACCCAACTCCTTGGAAAGCAGAGCCAGAGAAGACCAGGTAAATGTACGCAATAGCCCTATCTCAGACTGAGAAGGACTCAGGGCTTCCTTCGCTAAGGGAAAGAGGTTTGATCCAGTTATATTTGACTGTCAGATGATAGGCACTTTAATAAACACCTGGAGTTCATGGATCTGAACATGAAAGAAATAGCAAGAAAAACTGAGGATAAAATCTTAAAAAGGAAGTACCAATATAATATAATGAGTGGCAGAGAGTCTTGGTGCTTCAGCTGTTCACTTGTGCACAACGAAGTTGACCCAGAACTGCTTTTGAATGGAGATGAGAAGTTGACCCCTCCTATAAGGACTCCCTGTCCCTTGGATGTAGAGATGAGACAGTCATTTATTCAGATAGTCTTGGTTTTCATTTTCATTAGAATATTTCAATCCTGTGTTGTTTGTTTGCACTGCTTGGTTTTAAAAGTCAGTCTATTTGCTTTTAATCAGCAAATTAACTCTACTCCAGGACCAATGCAGAGATTATGACCTTATATATTTTACTGTCTCCAACTCTTATCAAAATCAAAAGTACAAGAAGTAATATCCCCAAAGGATGATAGCCTAGATAATAAGTTGTTTAGTGATCTCTGTAATCTGTCTAGATTTTAACATTAAATTAAACCAAAACATCATTAAGCTGAATATCTGGACAGTGTATCGGGGGCTGTTTTGTTTGCTTATAGCTAGGCACACTCCTATAAAATTGCTTTTACTGAATTGAGCTTTGTTGTGATATCTTCTGCTACTTGCTTTTGGCTTTATTGGTGAGATATGTTAAAGAAGTTGCTTTAGCCATCTTTTTATAAGCTCCCTGGGAGATTTATCAGGATTTCAGAGTGAGGAAGAGTTTGATGCTTCTTTTACAGACCATGCAAGTCCAATGAATACTTAGTCATGTTAATAAATGTAATTGAAATGATTCATTTTCATTTTTAACCTTTTATCTTTTCACATGAATTTGAAATAACAGTGTAAAAGTCCCACAGTTAAAGTGGAATGCTTTTAGTTAATTACACTGATTTTTCTCCATTTTCAGGAACGAACTAAATTATGGCCTCTGTGGGTTCCTGCCCTCTTGAAAGAATCAGGTCTCTTTGAAGATCCCAAAGGGGATAATGAGGAAGGATGGGGCTACTTAGCAGCAAAGTTTCCCAGTTTTAATGCAGTCATGTCAGCTTATTGGTATCTTCTATGGGTATAACCTTAGCAGTGGCCTGCCAGTGACCAACATGGGTCCTCATCATGTTGATCATAGATGTTGGACCTGAATATTTCTGACATCTCTGTGTGCATGCTCGTTATCTGGCACCCATCTTTCTCCTGAGTCATCCAAGCCCAAACTAAACCATCAGCAATACCAGCTGCCACTACCCTGGTCAATCTGTCAAAAAGGAAAAAAGTGGGCTAAAAGGAAATTAAGCAATATTTTCAAACCTATGAGGACAAAAAAAAAATAAATCAACCCTAAAAATCAGATTATATTTTAACTAGATAATATTTAAAAATCCAAAATTAAAAAACCCAAATTGCATTGTATTTATTATTTTGTTTAGTGTGCAAAATATAAAAGTGTCATTTAGAAATTTCAGATACAGAGTCCATCTATGAGATATATTCTAATAAGCAATGTCTTAGATGTTCACCTTCAGAAAAATCTACCCTAAGATAGACACGTCTCAATTGACACAGTAAAAAGTAAAGTCCCTTAAAGATTATCTTCAAAACATTCTTATTTTCAAATGCCCAAGGCATCAATACAAACTATGCTATCAACATGTGCCTAGAAGAAAAAAGTTCTAAAATAAGCTGAAAGATGTGAATATAAAAATATGCTTCTAAAAGTAACTTGAAAGTGAACAAAATTATTTAAAAACTGTTATTTCAGATTATAGAAGCTTCTTTGTGAATGTGGTCACTCAAGAGCCAATGCCTAGCTCATTCCATTGGGCCAGCATTAACCTGATGCCAAATCCAGACAAAGATACTAAAAAAGAACTACATATCAATATCCTTTATGAACGTTGATGTAAAAATCCTTAATAAAATTTGAACGAAAAAAATTCAAAGCACATTAAAAGCTTATTCACTAAGACAAATTGGGATTTGTTCCTAGAATGCAAGGATGGTTAAATACATGAAAAATCAGTGTAATATACCACATGAACAGAATAAAGGGGAAAAAGATAATCATCTCAGTTGATGTAGAAATAAACACTTGACAAAATTCAATGCCCTCTTATGATAAACACACTCAACATACTAGGAATGGTAAGATGCCATCAACAGAATCAAGTGTTGTTTGTACCCATAAATATAACATGTGTATATTCATAATCTACATCAAATAGACAAAACTCCCAGGATGGGGTTGGAGTTGTGGCTCAGTGGTAGAACATTCATTTGGCATATGTGAGGCACTGGATTCAATCCTCAGCACCATTTATAAATAAATAAAATAAAGGTATTATGTCCATCTACAACTAAAAAAAACCCAAACAAACAAACAAAAAAACAACTCCCAGGAGTACTTACCTGCCAAAATTTTCTTGAACTGTCTAAACCATACATCGCAGTGGTCTTCACTTAAATTAATAAGATCAAGGGTGGAATCTTTTAATTTGTTCTGTTCCTTTTTCAGGCAGAAGAAAAGTGTGATGCCTAGTAAAGTCCCACTTCTTGGCTGCTTAGCAGAGCAACGCCGCTTCAGCTTCACGGAGAATATGTTTTTGAGCTCAAGGGATTCTTCTTTACATAGCAAATCAAATTTATAATTACCTGAAAAGAAAATTTATTTTCTTCAATCAAAACCATTACATCCATATCTTCTATGTATGCACAATAGTTAAGACCCAGAAAATCTTTATCATTTTTAATTATGTGGTTTCCCTTTGCATCTGTCCCTGCATGAGACAGGAAGGGAAGAAAAGAAAAATGGATCTATTTTCCAAAATGAGGGGGAAAAATAGGATGAATGAAGGGCATTTCTGCCACACGAGGCCTACAATATTCAGAATCAGAACATTTAATGTATGAAGAATTTTGAGCAACACTGTAGTAATAAATTAATATCATGCAAGGGGCTCTTATGTGACAAACTAATGCAAAAAAAACCCACAGAATTCACTCACAGAAGTGAGTTATGCCAACTTATTGAAGGCAATCTTAAAGAAAAGGAAATGTACCCTCCTGGAAAAGTAACACATGTGCAAAAAGGATGAACATGTATGATTATTGTCAATAGAAAACATAGGAATTCCTGCCAATCTAGAAAAGCACTCAAAAAACTTAACCACAATCAGACTTTATTTTTAAAGTGGTGTGTGTGTGTGTGTGTGTGAGCAACTTTCAAAACTTTTGCTTCTGATCAACATGGAATGACATGGACTGTTTATAACTTCTACCTGAAACACCACAAAACCACACAGGATACCTGAAGAAGCAGTGTTCAAGACACTGGACCTCAGGTGACAAAGGAGGACAGTGGTCCCTAAGAGAAGACAAACAAAATGCACCACATGATTGCCCCAACCTACTACAGGAGAGTTTGTCCAGGACACAATGGAGGCAGGGGAACCCTAGTGGTCTTTCTTGGTTGAGAGGGAATTAGGGGTCCAAGATGTCAAGGTGACAAGGATTCATAAGGCTAATTACCAGAAAGGAAAAGGCTTCACAGAGAGCACTTAAGATCTGTAGAGGTGTCAAGTCTTCAGCAAGTATTGGTCAACACGTGAGGCCAGGGAAAGAACCACTCACAGGACTATGAGAACAGTGTTCAGATCACATAGGCATCCAACCAGCCAAAGTGGAAAATCACAGAAATTCACGAGAGATTGGGGAGAATATTTAGAAGAATATTGTCCCATCAGTGAGTTGGCCAAAGGCTGCCACCTAACAAGCCTAAAAAACAAGCTGCAAAAGCATTACTCTGCTTCCAAGTAACTTACAAAGCACTAGAATATTCATAGAAATGTAACAATGTCCCGCAAGTTTTGTAATATCTTTCATCCAACTTCACATAACTAGGTATGCAAAATATGTGTCCCACAATAGAAAAAGTAATGAATAAAAAATAAAAACCAGATAAAACAATAGAAAGTAGAGGCTTTGTCTCAGCTTCTTCATTCCTTGAAGTATGCAATTGTCCTCAGACTGGAGTGAGGACTTTGAGGCACTCCAAGATACTCATTGTCTGCATATTTCTGGGAGTTTTTGGCCTTCTCTAATCATTCTGTAAATCATAGCCTGATTGATAATGAAGCACAGGTACCACTAAAATAGAAAGGAATAGAAAAACCTTCACTCAAAGATTATCCTATTGTTTAGTAGGATAGGGGGAACTCAAAGTCCATTTTTCAGGCCTGACATTCTCTAGAAAGTTCAGGTTTCAGCTCTGATTATAATCCACTTCCATCCTTCGGTGACACAAGACCCCCAACATATTAATTCAGCAGGCTTTTCTTTGTGTAGCAAAACATTTCGTAATCTCAGAAAATAATCATCACTATTATTATAATCACTTTATCCAAAGGAGTGCACGTATTTGAGCCAAAACCTTTTTATACCTTTATGAATTGAATGATTCACCCTGACTTTCCTTTTCTATAAATACTAATCAATTAATCTGTATTGTAAGATTGACTTTTCTCTAGTACAGTTCTCAAGCTATCAGTCTCAGAAGCCCTTTGTACTCTTAAAGAATGAAGAACCCCAGATAACTTGTTTGTGTAGGTTATAAGTATCTGTATTTGTTGTACCAGAAATTGAAATTGAGATTTTTTTTCAAAGAACAAGAAAACAATTCATACACTCCTACAGGGCAACGATGTTAGACATATTCATCTCTGCAGAATTCTACTGTACCCTTGGGAGACAATGAGTGACTATTGCAAACATATTCTTAGTAATATGATAAAAACAGCTTTGACTTTACTAATCCCCGAAAAAGTCCCTGGAACACACTTTGAAAACACTGCTTTAGCATATTTTAGATCATTTGTGCCCTTTAATCATATTATGAAGTTAAGTCCTTTTTCAGATAATGTTCCAATTAACTAAAATTTTTGGTTCCCTCTTAATATCACCCACTGATCAGTGTTAAGTCTCTCCAGTTGAGCACCTTGGTAACCTATCTCTGAAAATAGCCTCTTATAACAGCATAGGGTTTCAAGTTCATCTGAGTTTTTTAAGGAGTCCCAGTTCTAATAAGGAAGAATATATTAGAAAAGCTGGCCAGAGGAGTATGATACCTAACTCATTCACGAAAGTCAGTAATATTGCTATGATTTGAATGTGAGGTGTCCCCAAAAGCTCATCTGTGAGACAATGAAAGAATATTTAGAAGTGAAATGATTGGTTTATGATAGCATTAACACAAATCAGTGATCAACTGAGTGGTAACTGAAGGTGAGTAGGATGTGGCTGGAGGAGGTAGGTCATTAGGGGTGTGCCTTTGGGGTATATATTTTATATATGCAAGCAGAGTAAGTCTCTCTCTCTCTCTCTCTCTCTCTCTCTCTCTCTCTCTCTCTCTCTCTCTCTCTCTCCATTCTGATCATCATGTGAGATGCTTCCAAACCGGTAGGCCTGTGGCCTCCCTCACAGAACACTTGAGAAAGTCCAGTGATATCTTACCCGCTTCCAGTACTCTCAACAATGAATGGAGCAGGTTTGTCCAAGGTCCTGGAAACTCCTCACTCTGTAGTATATAAAGAAGTATGTGGTAAACAGTGTCCTGTGAAGCTGGGGAAGTTTGTCTGAGTATGGGGGTGTTGCTGGGTGTCTGCTTCACACAGCTGGATGTGTAGATAAGCTGCACCATATTCCTGCCTAAATAAACTTGATTTTGGCTATATCTGTGGATATTCTTTAAAAAAAAATCAAGCAATTAGCAAAGCTGAACATCTTTTCATGTGCTTTCCATTTTAGTTTCTCAAGAGTTGCCTCTATATGTGCTTTGCCCTGCTTCTATTTGTCTATTTTTTAGTCACTTGCAGAAATCCTTTAAATAATCTCAAAATTAAACCCTTTATACACATTATTTTGGTAATAACTTCTAGGCTAATTTTACAACAATTTGTGTCACATATAAATTTCATTTTATGTGGGAAAACATACAACAAGTAAGAACACAGAGGAAGGAAAGAAGGAAGAAAAGTAAAAGAAAAAGCAGCCATTGAGGGAAAGAAAAATTGGGGCAAAATAAACTCTTTACTTTTAATTTGAAGTTCTGTAGTGTAGTCTGTAATTATTTCATATGCATGTGCTTCATTTTGGCTAACAAATAATTCAATAACTATTCCAATTTAAAACCTCTTAGAAAATTGAAAATTTAAAGATATTGACCAACAGCCAATATCACATGACAATAAAAAACAGAGGAATTTCCAGAAATAAGAATACCTAATAGAATACCTATAGAATCATCTTCACTGTTCCCAATTACTCTAGACATTCTAGCCAATGCCATAAGGAAAATGAAATAAAAGACAATAATTGGTGGTAGAGGGAGAGGAAGCTGAAATTGTAACTATATCACAATATATTTGTAAAAACCAAAAGAGTCAACTTAATCATTAGACCTAATAAAAATATTCAGTAAGGAAGCTCGTTACAAATGTGTCTATACTCAAGGAGACATAATGGATATAAAGAGATACCATATCCATTAGCATATCATACTTAGGAATAAATTGGCAAAATGATGCTGGACTTGAATGGGGGAAAAGCCATTTATAATTTACTAAGAATAAAGAATTAAATGGAGATGTATTAAGTTCCAAGATTACATGTTTTATATGACAGAAATCTCATTATTAACTATAATACAACTTCAATCAAAATCTTAATGGTATATTCTTTGATGTAAGGAGGAACAAGGAACCTGATCAAGTGATTTGCAAATTCTCTTGGAATAAATGTCTTACATTAACTAAAAAAAAAAATGTTGTAAAAATAATGAATGGAAGATCATGCCCTGTCAAGTATATTTTATAAAGTTATGATAATTAAAAACATCTTTAAGTAGAGAAATGAATGGACCAGAGAAACATTTATATGATTTTTAAAATTCTCTAATGTGTTATGGTAGAATCTAAGCTCACTGGGAAAAAGTGAAAGGTGCTTTAAAACTGATTTAATTTTTTGAAAAGAAAAAATAGAGCCCCATCTCATAATATGCACCAATATTTCCAGAATAGAAATTTATATAACCATAATAAAAAAGCCCTAAGCATAACAGCAAAGGCAGACATTCCAAGATCAAGATAATTAACATAAAAATTATTCAATGCCTACAAAGTCCTAAAGACCCATAAAAGGGAGTCACAAGCAAAGGCCAAATGAACAGAAATACTTGCAACACATGATGATTATATAATCTATTTAATCAAGAAAAGAACACTTTAATGGAGAAGCACATAAAAGACCCAGGCAGGCATTTCACAAAAGAAGAAATGCAAATTGACCAATGAACATATGAAAAAGTTCAACCTAATTAGTAATCAAAGAAATGCAAATTAAAACAACAAGATACCACTTTTTGCCTTTTAGATTGGCATGAGATCAAAAATAAGGCTCAATGATGGTACAGCTAAAGGGAAGCAGTCCCAGTGCTGCTAGGAATGAAAAATGGTAACTGCTGAATAACAAGTTGGGAATATGTATCAAAAGATTTCAAAATGTTAATTGCAGCAACATTTATGATAGCAAAAATATTTAAAGAAACATTTGTGTCCTTCAATGGGAGGATGGTTGAAGAAATCATAGTCGTCTTCTGT